ATCGTGTGCGTTGCGTGTGTGAATGTGGCAGTGAGTGAAGGCGCGGGCCCCACACACATAAATCAGCGAACAGCCACACACAGTCACACTTCTCACCGCTATTCCGATGAACACAGACGCACACTCACCAAGGCTCACGATGTAGAGCACGGTTTTCCTTTATCTTGCCCACGGTGGACCACACGCGTATGTTAGGATTTGTGAAAACGCGTTTTCACTCGTGAAGCGCGCAGGCATGTAATGGAACGTTATAAGGGCAAGGGCCTAAAGACACCTAATCTCTGATTTCGAACCATTTTTTGGTCTTTCTTAAAGTATAGTCAAATAATTAGAAAAAAAATTTAAAAATTGTCCCCAGTGATTGTCGAACTCAAAACTAAGTCCATCTCAAAAGACTCAGCAATCAATTTTTATCAATTATTTTGCTATTTTTTTGTTCAGTCTGTCATTGGTATTTTAAAAATCTTGGGCCCATAGTCTACTATTACGGTTGACAGATTAGATCTCTCTGAAGCAGTCTAATTTCTCAGTTTCCGCTAAATTACCTAATAAAATGTATCCGAGGATGTTTGCCAGTGGCTGCTCAGGTGAGAAAATGGTCTGGAGGGTAGAACTCAATAATAGAAAGTATATTCAGACAACAAAAAGTATCGTCCGGAGTATTTCCAAGGAAAATAATAAAAAAATACCAAATAAAAAGAAAGGAATTTAGGGCCCCACGAGGGCTGTCAGATCACTGCAGCAGGCAGGCGTTAGATGCCCGCTTTCCACTTGTCGTCCGAAAGCGGTACCGGGAATGAGAAGCTCGCTTCGCGGTCCATAGCTCTTTTTCATCCCCCTTTCACTTTCGCACGCCAAGTGGGCAGCCGATGCATGAGAGTGGTGCTTTATGAAGAGGCAACGAAACGCCCCTGCTGCTGTACGTGGCAGAATATTTTGTCAGTTTTCTGGGCGGTGCGGCCACTCATGACGCGGAAGGTATCGTTCGTTCAAGAAGTGTCTTTTCTTTGGCCCTTCAAAATTAGAACTTCCGCCGACCAGCCGAAGTTCGGAAAACACCTTGAAACGGCGCTGCAGCGCTTATTCGGCCACCTGCTACCGCGGTCGGGGTGGAGGAGCGTAACTGCGGAATTTTAAAATCACCGTAAAAACAATGGAAATTTGGAAAAAAGTGCAGATCGTGGAATGAAATCCCTCCGTATATGATGAGACAAATCGTCCTCTGGGCCTTTTTATCCTCTCGCGTTATCAGAAACGCGATTTTGGACTTTCTGCTGCTACGCTCCGCCACCCCAACCGAGGCAGCAGGTGGCCGAATCAGTACTGCAGCGCAGTTCCTGGGCGTTTGACAAACTTCGGCTGGTCGGAGGAATTTCCAATTTTAAAGAGTCATAGAGAAGACACTTCTTGAACGAACGATACAATTCGCGTCATGATAAGTGGCCGCATCACCCAGAAAACTGGCAAAATACTTTGCCATGTACAGCACCAGGGCGCGTTTCGTTGCCTCTCCATAAAGCACTACTCTCATGGCCGATGCCTGCCGGCTGCATGACTCTGGGGGCTATCTGGCTATCTCGAGAAGAGGAAAAAAGAGGCCCTCTTCAATGTGACAAAATATTGCTCCACAATACTGTTGTAAAGAGATTACGAGAAAAGTTTCCATAGCGAATGTCGGACAACGACTCAAAATTGTAAATTTTTCAAGTCCTGCGTATCGACTTGAAATCCATTGACTAGCAAAGAAAGAGTGTGATGATGTGAATGTACAACATATTTTGTACATAATACAATATTTTGTACAAAATATATTGTCTTGTCATTTTAAATTGTAAATGTACAACACCCAACAACACCTTCCATCGAAACTTTTCCTGTTCCACACGACCAATGACAGGTGTCTTAAAGATACAGTACGACTAATCTGACTCACTGTTTATCTGGTGCACACTAATCTTCGAATTCGCGAAGACTGTAAGCTAACCTGCTAGTGTTTTGTCTGCCTGCATCGTGTCGAGAAGTCGCAGCATGCAAGCGGGAGACTGCCTGCGCTACTTCAGTAAGTTACCTCGTTGCTTCGCCCCCACATCCCCCCGGTGTGTAGGCAATGACTTGTGCTTGACCTGCCAGGCCGAGACGTGCACCGAGTGCGTGGGCTACATCAGAGCCAGAGTGGACATAGACGACTCTCATTTGGTCGCCTGGGCCTAGCTCCAAAGGGGGCACCAAGGGACCATGGGCGTTTCCAACACAACCAACAGTGAAGTCGACTTTGAGCCCACGACGGGCCAAGCTACTGAGACTGGGGGCGACGAGTGCATTGGGCACGGCTACGCTCTCTGCTTGTACTGGTGCTTGACTTGCTGGGCCACGGCACGGGTTGAGTGCACTTCCCAGAAACACGCTCTCATCTTGCGCTTGTGCTCGACTTGCCGGGCCATGGCGCGCGACCAGTGCATGGACGAGGGTCACGTTCTTAGGTTGCGCTGGTGCTCGACTTGCGAGGGTATGGCACGTGGCATGTGCATTGACCACGGCCACGCATTGGGCTTGCGCTGGTGCTCAAATTGCCGGGCCATAGCGAGCGACCAGTGCACAACCCAGCGCCACGATCTGGAGTTAAACTGGTGCTCGACTTGCCGGTTTATGGCCCGCAACGAGTGCAGAGTCCAGGATCACGCCCAAGAAAGATTGGACGTGGACGCACTAGGGTTTGCCAAATGGCTGCAGAGGAGGCAAAGCATGGTCATGCCTATAGGCAAGCGCAGTCCAGCGGAGAACGGGTCGAGCGTTTACCATGATCTGCCAGAAACGATCAACCGACTGCGTGGTTTGTCGCCTACTACAGATACTTTCATAACAGGTATGCACGTATATCAAATATAGAATTGAAATCCGGATGCGGACTGACTATTTAATGGTTTATAAAGGCCAAGCCCCATATGCAGAGCCTAGTGCAGAACACGTAGGCCGCGCGAGGCACAGCAGTGATACTACGGATGCGCTCCTTTTTGCTCAACCAACGTAAGTTGCATAAGGACACAAATGAATTGGAATACTGAAGCAGTATTAAGATATAGTACAATATATTCTGCATCTGCATCTGAAAGAAAACGCAGACAACAACCTCTCAGATTATGTCAAAGTGCTCTTGTGTTTTAGAGATACCGGGATTGGGAAATATTCTGAAGAGTACAATATGTCCCATCGTCGGCGTGGAATTGCAGTCGTTTTAAACCAAAAGAGGGTTAGAAAACATGCTACACGTTTTGGTACTGAGCTTGACGTGGACGAGCTTGTACAGACATTTCTTGGTCTAGGCTTTGACATTCATAGTATTTGTGTGCTCGAAGACCAACCATTGAAGAGTATTTTTGATATCCTAAAAATATGTACGTTTACAAGCCGGGCGCGGTTTCCGACTTCGAGCATATTTGACAACAAGTAATCGCAACCTTTTATTGCCTTTTCTTTTAGTAAGGGAACACGACTTTTCTCAAGACGACTGCCTCTGCATTACTATCCTCAGCCATGGTAACAACAGCGGAGTTTTGTTGGCGAATGACTATTCATACAATTTCAAGTCGATGTGGAAGCAATTTACTGCGGATCGTTGTCCATCACTGGCGGGAAAACCAAAACTATTTTTTGTTCAAGTAAGTGCTTACTGTGCACAATGTTAATTTACAAGTGAAATTGTAAATTGACAGGGGAAATCATAAATTAACAAAATCAGTTGACGCTGTACGATCTGAAATATCGTCGTCAAAGGTAGAGCAAAGGTATTTGGATTC